TTTAATAAAAGAATATTTTAGTACAAGAATATTCTTCATCCACTGATGATTCATATTTTCTGAGAGTATTCCACTCTTTTATTTATAATTAATTATAGAATTATCTTAAAAATTATCTGTTATTCAAATTAATGTTAATACTAGTGAAAAATAGTTTTCTATGCTTAACCCTTAAGTGGATTATTGGGGCTGCTGTGGGCCCCCGCAAGTTTAAACTAATAATTGCTTAATATATGTAAATGTAATTATTTGAAAATTTATGTAATCCTCCATTAGTTCATTATTTTCTAAATACTTTAAGGGAAAGTGGATTTTCATTTGCCATTTTGGTAAAAATCAATATTAAGTAAGATTATTCAGTTGTGATGGAGAGTCCACTTAAGGATTAAATTTTCTCTTTCCTGTATATTAGAAAATACCTTTTCAGCAGTTTCTTAGATCAGATATTAATACTTATAAACTCACTTCCGTCGTTGGAAAGTTATGTATTATTATTTTTTCCATGAATATCATTGTCCTATCTTCTGAATAATAAGTAATGAAATTGATTTTGAGACGTTAATTTTATGACTGATTTCTCCAAATTGTATTCTATTTGCGTGTATTTCACACGTATAAATTAAGACGTGAAATTTCTGTTCGTCATTTTGTAAACATTATCTAGAATAACACATTACGTAATACATCGGAACTGAAAAATGCAATTACTTTCTTCAAATTTACTTTCATTGCTTACAATTTACAAGCATAACTGCTATAATAAAATTATAAAAATCTTTAAAAAGTCGGCGATGCTATAGTTGTGCTCCACAGTATAGTGGTGACGGGGGTTCGCGAATTATTCATGGGGCCAACGAAAGAATTGTCGCGACGAACAGGACCGATAGCGACCAACAGACTCTCGCACGCTTTCTACGTGTGCCGTAAAATTAGGAGCAGTTATCTTTTGCCGGGCGTTTCCGGTTCTCCGGCGAGTGGCGCCTCGAGGAAACGAGGGGAGAGAAAAAAAAAAGAGGAACGGAGAGCGCGAGTAGGCGCCCGATCCCCAAGGTGCAATTTCGGATGAGTGGGCGGCCTCGCGAAGGCGAGGAAAAAGAATAGAAATGAAAGTGGTTGAACGACCCAACCGAGCAATCGAACGAGCATTTTTTATTCTGTTCGTTGCGTTCAATCTTCGCGATGCCCTCCGATCACGCCACAAGGTGCCACATTCCGCACTGACGCTCTTCACTTTCAAATCCTACTAGGGTTTCTTAGAAATCTGGAATACCGGTCTACTGGATGAACAATTTCTTATTAGTTCGAGCACATTACTCTTTAGGGAACTCCAACAACGAATAGAGAACCTCTCTAGTTTGTGATTCAAAGCACTCACACTGTTACTGGATCTCTGATATCACACTTTTTGGAAAAAAACGTGCTTCTACAGTGGATTTAATAATCAAGCAATGAAATATTGGTTTGGTAACTACGTAACTGTGGATTTCACTGATAGATGGATTTAGTTGAATTGTTAAGTATTTGTATGTATTCGAAACGTCAAACCTATATTGAACACGAACTGTACGGATTCTCCGATAGAATGGAACGGTAAATATACTCTCACTCAATTACAATAATGCTTTCAGCCGTCCAAGATAGAAATTAAAGTCTCTCGATAGATCAATAATAGGAAGTGTGCACCAGAAATGTCTTTCGGTCATTCTGTGTTTGACAGAGTATTTTGGTCGTTAGATAAAATTGCAATCACTACGAGAAAAATTATGGTAAAGTTGTCACTGGCACCCATTTTATAGATTCCATACAATATAAATAATATATAAATAAGAAATGAATGAAGACAAGACATTATTAAATAAAGTTATTTCATTCCATGAAAAAAATTGTTTTTTATTTTATTAAAATTCTTATTCTCAAGCTTTGTATTCTCGATTGCATCGAACCAATTTATTTATTTACTTATACTGAAAGTTTTGCCTAGTACGTCGTTCCAGGGATTATACAGAGAGTTCGACCACCCATGGGAAAAAATTTTAACAGGAGATTCTGGAGGCCAAAATAAGACGAAAATCAAGAATACCAATTTGTTGATCGAGGCTTCGTTAAAAAGTTATTAACGTTTAAAGTTCCGTCTGTAGAAGAGCAATCTGCGAACAGCTGCTAGTGGTTCTCACTCAGCATGAGTCGACAGCCTTACAATTTCCTGAGTGAGAACCACTAACAGCTATTCGCAGATTGCCGTTCTACCGTTGGAACTTTAAATGTTAATAACTTTTCAACGAAGCCTAAATGAACAAATTGGTATTTTTGATTTTCGTTTTATTTTGGCCTGCAGAATCTCCTGTTAAAATTTTTCCCAGGGGTGGCTGAACACCCTGTATATTCTGTTCGATTACTCCGAAACCAGTGTTCGAGATAAACGCAACACGCGTATTCAGGACGAACTAAAAGCGTTAGAAACTTAATAGTTTCTTTTAGCAACAAATTGGAGGTTCTGCTTGGATATCCTCTATTTTTCTACGATATCGTTCGTTATCGTCGTTCTTTCCCATTCCTCTGGGCAAATTATAAATCACCGAAGTAACTGTGCTCGCTACGAGCACTTCCTCTGACATCTTGATTGCGAATAAACGAAAGACAGACACGCGGATGCTACGGTACCATCAATCGTCGCAAATGCTCGCATACCGAACTCCGCGAGTACTCGCCATTATGGATAAAAAGCACACTACCGCGGATTCCCGATGTCTTTGAAGCACTGGATGCCATTGATTTTCATATTCGTCATTCCTTCGATTCGAAATTTCGATTTTACACGAACCAGACAATATTCCAATTAAATATAGAAATGACAAAATGACTATCGTAAATATGGAGAATGAAAGCTACCTCATATTTCAAACACACTTTATCTACTATAAAATAAGAAGCTATAACAATCGTAACATTATATAAACCATTTAAATCACAAATAACAAATTAATGAGATGTTGTTTACTTTGGAAGAAATAAATGCTTACAGACAAATGGACACTGTATAATGTTAAGTATATTGTTGTCTACATAATACGTAGGGTATATAATTATAATAGTCGTTTCGTTAGAATATTTTACTAAAGTTTATAATCTGCCTAGAATATTTTCGAACCCGTTTGCTGATCAAACAAACGCAATTATAATAGTGTGAGAAAGACCATCAGCATCTGGCAAGACTTCCTGTCGCACGACGATGCCTATTTATGAACCGTGCCTCTACGAGTTTTACGCACAAGCAGCCCCCCTTCGTTGCTCTCACCCACCTTCCACTTCCGGTGGATTCGAATAAAAAGCAACGCGTGATTTCGTACAGAACGAACGGGCCACCTTGTCTCTTCACCAAACTAGCTCGACTACGCTCGGGAACAAAAAATACACCCTTTGATAATTTTTCAATCTTCACCCAACATCTTTATCAACAATTCACCAACTCAATAATTCTTGTTCGATCGAAATTCCTGACTAGAAATATAGGAAAAGGTGCTTAATATTTATCAGAGAAATAACGACTATAGAAATGGTTATAGTTTCAACATTTTCTACTAGCTTTTTATGTTCATTAAGACCGATCTGGTTCCAGTTTCTAAATATCTTATTTTAGATCGTACTTTTGAAAATAAAATATTTTATTTGTTGTGACAGAATTAACACACAGTATATGCTTAAATAAGTAATATATTTAATACAACAGGAAATATATAAATATGAACGAGCGCATGTTAGCTGTTGCAGCTCGAGATGCCAACCAAACAACAACCGAGTAACGTCGTGTGAACGCATCTCAAAGACGAAAGAAACAAAACATTCAACGACATGAACAACGCCCATCTCGACGGTCTATTTAAATTAAACACATATAGATCGCTTTCTCACACCCCCTCTATCGATATGTGTTCTAAATTAACTAAAACTAAACTTTATTTTTAACATAAGCTCAACATTTCAATACAACGTTCGTGTTTCGCTCTACTTAACGCCTTGGTAAGGATATCGGCTAACATAGAATCTGTGCTTAAATAGTGTATGATTATTTCGTTATTTTCCACCAACTCACGCGTAAAATGAAATCTAATATCAATATGTTTACTTCTCTTATGGAAAACAGCATTTTTTGACAGTTCAATAGCGCTTTGGTTATCGCAATAAACATCAACGGGATCACTTATTAGTTTTTTTAAAATCCATGTGATTTAGCAATCTTTTAATGTAGACAATTTCTCGCGACACTTCAGCAAGAGCAGCGTATTCAGCCTCCATCGTAGATAGAGCGACTGACGATTGCTTTACGCTTTTCCAACTTATTGGACCGCTAGATAGCACTAGTAGATTTCCCGTGCACGACCTTCGATCGTCGGTGTCTCCTGCCCAGTCTGAGTCCGAATATGCTTTTAATTTTTCGTTACTTTTTACGTAAGTAATGCAATATTTCGATGTCGCTTTAAGATAGCGAAGTACACGTTTCGCGAGGATCCAGTGCATTTTTCCTGGGTTGAGGCAAAAACGACTTAATGTCGCGGCTGCAAAGGCGATATCAGGACGCGTGGCATTTGCGAGATAAATTAGCGCTCCAATCAATTCCCGGTACGGTGTATGTTTCATCTCGTGTATTTCTTCAGGCGTCTGAGGGCACATCTCCATTGTAATTTTTGTATTTGATTCGATTGGCGTTGACACACTTTTTGCTTCTTGCATACCGAATCTTTCAATCGTCTCTTCAATGTATCGCTCCTGGGATAGCCGAATTTTTCCTACTTCTCCATCGCGTTTAATGCTAATCCCTAATACATTCCTCGCTGGTCCTAGATCTTCCATTTTAAACATTAATTTCAACTTAGACTTAATTGCTTCGAGTTCTTCTATTTTTCTAGACGACAAAATTAAATCGTCGACGTAAATAATAAGAATTACACGGTTTTCTCCCGCTCCGAACACATATACGCATGGATCTGCAATTGTGCGCCTACCTCCACTACTTAATATAAAATTATCTAACTTTTTATACCACTGGCGCCCGGATTGTTTCAAACCATATAATGGTCTTAATAATTTACACACTTTCTCTTCACGTCCTTGACTAACAAACAATTCCGGCTGCTCCATATATACTTCTTCAATTAGTTCGCCCTGTATATATGCTGCCACAACATCCATTTGATGAACGTGCATTTCCTCTTGCACAGATGCAGCGAGTAGGGTGCGAATAGTCTCATACCTAGCCACCGGAGCAAATACTTCAGTATAATCAATACCAAATTTTTGTGTGTGTCCACGCGCAACAAGTCTGGCCTTGTATTTTTCAATTTCCCCTTCTGGAGTCATTTTCTTTTTAAAAACCCATCTGCTCGTCAAGACTTTTTTATCTGTTGGTCTGGGTACGAGTTCCCATGTTTTATTTCTTAGCAAATTTTCATACTCACTTTCCATTGCTTCTAGTCACGCTTTTTTGTCTGACCGACTTAAAACGTCTGACACAAATATCGGGTCGAAATCTTCAACGTTGCTTTGTTGATATATTTTTCTAGGTCTTCCTGTTTGGCCCGTTCTCTCAATCTTTGGGCGACCTGGCCCATGTTTTGCCACACGATTCTGTGTTTCATCCATCTTACCATCATCCAATGGTTGGTTAGATTCTAGGTTTTCATCATCTTTTTCTGGCGACTCAGGATTCTTATCATCTCGTTCCTCGATAGTAGGATCGGGAATAATAAATAATTCGTTTTGCTGTCTTTTACCTGTAAGTATTTCAAAAAATTTAATATCTCGAGCTTTAATTACCTTCCTCGTACCTCTTTGCCACAAACGGTATGCCTTTGACTCTTCTGAGTATCCTACTAATATGTACTCATCGCCCTTTGGCTGAAATTTACCCCTATTTGGTCCCTTATATAATGCAATTGCTTTGCTTCCAATAATTCGTAAAAACCCTACGTACGGTTTCCGTCGTGTCCATGCCTCATATGGAGTTATTCCATCAAGCGCCTTTGTTGCACTTCTATTCCTTAAATATGTCGCTGTATTAATGGCTTCGGCCCACAGAGAGTCAGGTAAACTAGCTTGTGTCATAATACACCTCGCCATCTCCACTAGCGTGCGGTTAGCGCGTTCCGCCACGCCGTTTTGCTGTGGCGTGTACTCGACACTTAATTGATGGACGATTCCCTCTTCTTTAAGAAAGTTTTTAAAATCCTTTGAAAGATACTCTTTCGCATTATCCGTGCGAATTTTCTTGATTTTACGACCCGTTAGTCTTTCAGCTTTTCTTTTAAAATCTTTAAACGCTTGGAGTATGTCCGATCGGTTCCTAAGCACTACTGTTTGAGTATATCGCGAATAGTCATCAATGAACGTTAAAAAATATCTCGCGCCCCCGAGAGATTCGCATTTCATAGGCCCGCAAATGTCTGAGTGAACTAAATCGAGTGGCCCTTTCTCGCGATTTTCGGATCTTTTAAACGGTAGTACATGAATTTTACATTTCGCGCAAATTTCACAATTTAAATTAGTAGATAGTGTCGCAAAATTCATACCATCGACCATTTTGCCATCTTTCATATTTTTCAGATCGTTAAAATTAATATGTCCGTATCTTTCATGCCATCTTATTAATTTTTCATTAATATCAGAGCTTGTTTGCATCGCACGTTCATTTTTTTCGTCTACGATATATAACTGATCACGCTTTATGGCTGTCAACACCTTTACATTATTTTTATTTCTAACCGTCGCGCGATCTTTTTCGAACGTCACTGTATAGCCGCGATCTGTGGCACGAGAAACTGACAAAAGGTTATTCCGTAAACTCGGTACATACAACGTGTCCTCTAACTTAATAGATTTTGGCGAGTATCTACCTGTTTTCGCATTTAAATTTACATTACCTATACCGGTTGATTCTACCCATTGATCGGCGGCTGTATACACCTTGTATTGCTCATCATTGTTTACAGTCTCGAATTTATTTCGCTCGTTACACATATGCCTTGTCGCGCCACTATCTAGGCACCATACACTCGACCTTTTAACCGGTTCCGTATTGTACGCAATCGCAGTCATCGCTTCGCTTAAATAATACGAATTTTCACGTTTCTCGATTGATTTTGATCTACATTCTATAGTTTTATGTCCGTATCGCCCGCAACTGAAACACTTACCATTAAACTTTCGCGGCTTCGCTTTATAGTCTTTCGCGTACGCTCGTGTATATTTTTTCCGATCGAAATTGTCCTTTACATGTAACGCATCACTTTTGTTTTCTCTCTCACCTGACTTCACATCGCGTTCATTCTGTCTAGCCTCTTCTTCCTTTATCTTCGCCATAAGATTATCCAATGTAGGTATATCGTCCCGCGATTCAATTGCGATGCTGAAGTTTTCAAATTCCCTCGGTAACGAAATCAGCAGCATTATGGACAATAATTCGTCCGAAATTTGAATACCGGCTTCCCTGACTTGATCTGCTTTTTCAGAAAACTCGTTTAAATATTGAACAATAGTCGTACCTGGTTTTCTTTCCATTCGTAGAAGTTCTTTGCAGAGAGTCGCCTTCCTCACTGGCCCACGAGATTCAAAGACAATTTTCAACTTGTCCCATGCTTCCTTTGATGTATTCGTTTTTTTTATGTGAAGAAGCTGACCATGCATAACACTTAAATTTATCAACGCCAAAGCCTTTCCGTCCTTTCTTAACCATTCTTGAGGGTTTTCAACAGGTTTTACTTCACTACCGTCGACGTATTGCCATAAGTCGTTATACGTTAATATGCTTCTCATCTGTATCTTCCACAAATCATAATTGTGCTCCTTTAACTTCTCGATGCTCGAGAACATACTAGATGCAGCCATATTCCAGTACGAATTTTTACGTATTAAACACTTCGACACTTATTTTTTCCTTTATATTACTTAAGAGGCATGTCTGGGCCCATAACCTGACAGAATTAACACACAGTATATGCTTAAATAAGTAATATATTTAATACAACAGGAAATATATAAATATGAACGAGCGCATGTTAGCTGTTGCAGCTCGAGATGCCAACCAAACAACAACCGAGTAACGTCGTGTGAACGCATCTCAAAGACGAAAGAAACAAAACATTCAACGACATGAACAACGCCCATCTCGACGGTCTATTTAAATTAAACACATATAGATCGCTTTCTCACATGTTGGAAAGATTCTTCAATATAGTATTTAAAGCGTACTAAAAATGTTATTTAATTGATTATCAGCAAATAAATTATTTTTTTTAACCCGAGTATAAAATTATGTTTCTCTATGACTAAAATAAATAAATTTAATTTGCAAGTATCGGTCAGTGGGTTGACAGTATTTTCCAAATAAATTAATATATTAATCTGGCGTGAACCAGTCTTTATTTTCTTCACCCCGAGTATAAAATCAAGTATTTCTTCCTGACTAAAATAAATAAATTTAATTTGCAAGTATCAGTCAGAGGTTTGACAGTATTTTCCAAATAAATTAATATACTAATCCGGCGCGAACGAACCCGTCAGAAGCGTCGTAGTACTTTTGCACGTTGTAAATTTCTTTGCAATAATTTTATTTAATTGCAGCCTGCCGAAAAGTAGAACGATGGAAAAGCAAGCAGGTTCAACACCTCGAATGACGAAGCGGTTCTGATATAACACAACCCGACGCGGGGACACATCTTCGAGGCGTATCTCGTGTTAATTGCACTGTACTCTCATGGTATACCTTGATGACACTCGCAGGTAGTTGTCAGAACGTGTTTCACTTCCGGGTTCTAGCTTCGTCTTTCTCCCGCTGCATTTCAAGCGAAATCCTCTCCGATGGCAGTGCCATAAAGGAAGTTCGTCCAAAAAAAAAATTCACGATATATTATTAAGCATAAGATGGACTAACTACGGACAAGATCATATTAACCGTACTTCGAGTTAACGGAATTTTAAACGACGTTAATAAATATTATCCACGAGATATTAAAAGCAACGGTATTAGGAGGCCGATTACTAAATTATACTGCCCTTTAAATACACTTGTCTCACGACATTTTCAAAATAATAATGTACCATTCATTTTAAATAAAGTTTCTTTTAAAAATTCTAATGTTTTTCGCACGATTTAACGTTGTTCTTTGTTCTTCATTTTTTATAAGATCGTAGATTTATTGTACTATTCCATAAAAAAGAGTCGAGGGTTTAATATCGAAATTACATGCCTGTTTTCGGTTCTGTTTACTTCGAAACGAACAATAAAATCGCAGGAATCCATTAGCCGACTGCATTGTGAGTCGAAAAAATGAAGATATTCGACCACCAACGTAAACAAGGATTACAGCACACGAACCCTGCCACTGGGCGGTAAATCCCATAAATCATTTAGGCTCAGAATGTAGCCAGACGACACGAATACCGGGACAAATCTATTTGAGATCTATGTGAATACTGAAAACAAACATACATTTTTAATGAAAACAAACAGGCTATATTTCCGATAAAAATTTCTATCGACTCTAATTACGATTTTTTATAATATGTTACACGTTCAAACATAATACTGCTCTTGTAACCAGTAGTCAGTAATAAAGGCATATTGTTCATTTTTTGTTTGTACGATGCATAAGCTATTATATTATAGCTTTTTTATTTTGTTCCATACAATTTTACCTATATAATAACATATAATATTCTCTATTAGGGGAAATTAAAGTTCACACTTATATTATAATAGTTAAAATTGTATGGAACAAAGTAAAAAATTTAATGTAAGAATAAAACGATTTTTCAACAAGCGTCGCTTTTAATTTCCTCTAATCGAGAAAACCGGTTAGTCAATTTAGTAATAATATACATTTTTAATTTTATTACCCAGATTCAGATTTGAAAACGAGGTCTAAAATTGCATTTTCCTCAAAATTTACTATTTAATATTTAATAACGTTCTAAGTATCGCAGAGTTTCACGATAATCCCTTAAACATTCAAACCGCGTTTGACGCGAGCAAGAGAGATGCAAATGAACGGACATTAAGGCCTCGGAACAGCATGTCGCGGTTCTTGACGTTGTAATGAAAGCTGTGCAAGAACAAAAGGGACAAAAGTAATCTAGACAATCACTGTCAGCGACCCTTCTCCATTTTCACATTTTATCGTCAAGGTAATTCACCCAGCGGACAGCGCATAAACGTTTTCGTTCTGCCGATTCAATTGTTTTCACTCTTCCGTTAATTCGAACTATCCGCACCGATCATCGTCGTTCGAGAGAAACAATTAAAGGCCGATGTGCAAATTAAACACCGTGGGAGTCTCGGAGTCGAGCATTAAAGCACCAAATCGAAAAGTCGCGAATAATTAAATCGATAGAAAACGTTCGAACAGGGTATACATACTCGTATAGTCTCGAGCGACCATTCATTTTACCTTAAGCGTGGGCGAGCCCTTGTGGTGCACGTAATCAACCATGATTCTCTGCTCGACGGCATCGAAACGCAGTTTCATCGAACCTTGTCCTTGAACGTTCCTTCTTTCGAAAAGTGAAGATATTAACTGGCCTTTCAACGAATCGGTTTTAACCGTTCAACTTCAATTTCTCCGATATTCTTCGAACCGATTAATTATCAAATAAATTGAATTCCTAATATATTAAATCATGTACATTGATAAAATTAGAGAAGCTTCAAAAATACTGAAAGTACCAATTAACTAGATACAAAACTTATTTATTTATATTTTCCTCTTAGAATCGCTTTGGTGCGTTTAACTGCAATTTCTCTGATATTCTCCATACCATTTAATCATCAAATAAATTGAATTCCCAATATATTAAATTTTGGGCATTGAAAACATTAGAGAAGCTTCAAAAATACTGAAAGTATCAGTTACCCAAATTCAAAACTTAATTATTTATATTTACCACTTAGAATTTCTTCAATATTCTTCTCACCGATTAAATATCGAATAAATTGAATTCTCAATACATTAAATTTTGTGCATTGATAAAATTAGAGAAGCTTCAAAAATACTGAAAGTACCAATTGACTAGATTCAAAACTTATTTATTTATATTTTCCACTTAGAATCGCTTTGGAGCGTTTACCTACAATTTCTTTGATATTCTCCTTACCATTTAATTATCAAATAAATTGAATTTCCAATATGTTTCGAAAATACTGAAAGAACCAATTAACAAGATCCAAAATTTATTTATTTATATTATCCACGTAACTCTAAGTATCCCAATTAGCAAAAGTTAAGTACAAAAATGAAATTAAATTGTTATACAGGGTGTTCGGCCACCCCTGGGGAAAAATTTTAATGGGGGATTCTAGAAGCTAAAATAAGACGAAAATCAAGAATATTAATTTTTTTATTGAAACTTCGTTAAAAAGTTATTAACGTTTAAAGTTCCGTCCGTACTGAATTTTTTCGCGAAAATGCGCAGGAATTCAGGAGTATGTCTATTCACCAAAAATGATTGCAATTGACCCCCGCAACCGAAAATAATTTTTCCAGAACGATTTGAAAATTTTGAATTTAATTGTTAATAACTTTTTAACGAAGCCTCCATCAACAAATTGGTATTCTTGATTTTCGTCTTTTTTTAGCCTCTAGAATCCCTCATTAAAATTTTTCCCAGGGCTGGCCGAACAACCTGTATATTAACGTATAGAAAACTAGTACAGAAATTTCGTTCTCTAGAAAGGTTTTAATCGAATTTACTGGAACGAACACGCGTGTTCGAGACTTTCCCTAAAACAGGAAGCTTTTTCCCATCTTAAACAGAAAATCTGGCGATGTTTATATACATGCATAGGTACGGCGTATGTTTAGACAGCAGCATGCCCTGCGAGTTTATGGTTCGGAACTCTTGCACATTTAATGCACTCCTGTTTACACTTTCCTTGCACGGTCTACAAGCTCTTAAAATCTGGCGTTTGCCCAACCGGATGGGAATTTCAACTTTCCGTTCGCGCCAGAACGCAGACTTATAAATTATCAGCTCGTAATGACTAAAAGCTATCCCCCCACGATGTTTTCAGATTTTACCAGTGCACGTTTCATTATCAAGTTACAGGATTAACCGTAAAATGTAATTTTCATATAAATTCATTTACAAATCCTTCTGTTCAAACTTGGTACGCGACCCGAGTCACATTCCGGTCGGATTAGGGTTAATGGAAGATTAACAGATCAATCGTGTGTGTCAATTCTTGAGCAATCAATTGCATGATTTATTGAGAGAAGTTTCATTAGATGTCACGTGTGGTTTACGAATGACGCAAACTCTTATTCCTGGAAAAATTTAAATACTTCTTTAATTATTTTGTCGGCCATGTTCGATATTATCGTGCCTCGAGTACTTGGAATATTTAAATGATCCGAGGAATCTGTAAATACTAAGTAAATCTCGTTATAGACGTTTCATACTTAGAGTCTGGTCATTGTAGCAAGAAATTTTCAAAAGAAAATCCCAACAAATGCAAGGAATCAAATGGCTAAGTTATATAATAGTAAACATATCTAATAGTGACTAGTAACTTTAGAAAAGAATAAACGTTGGCAAGTATGGCAAAGAAAAATTGATTGTTTTCAAGCCTGATTTAAATTTGAAACAATAAAATTGAAGGGATTCTTCCATCGATTTGTCATAGATTTAAAAACATAAGCTAGTTCCAAGAAATTTCCAAATTTCCAAGAGAAAATTCTAATCAATTTCCAAGGAATTAAATGGTTCAGTTATAGTAACCATATTTGCCAGTGACTACTAAATTAAAAAAAGGATAAACGTTGCCGAGTATACCAGAGAAGAACCGATTATTTTCAAGCCTGATTGGAATTTCTAACGGTAAAATAAAAATT